GGTTTGTCCCTGGGAATCTCTAGGAGTAAGCATGGTCCCTAGGTCCTAAGCCCAGAGAGGGTCTAGGCCTAGGGAAAGGGCCCAGCCCCGGATGGGGAGTGGCAAGGCTTGGCCTAAGCCTTCCTGAGGTTCAGGGTCAGTGGCCCTGCCACTTGCCAGGGTGCGATCTTGGGCTCTATTCTGCTGTGAAGTGGAGGTAGGTGCCCTGTCTCGCTCACTCTAAAAGGGAAATTGCCTTGTGTATTCCAGAGAGGCCATGGGAGGCCTGGTGTGAGTGACAGGTGGGACTGGGCACCAGCAGCAGGCTGGGGAGTCAGTTTCTTCAGGGAATTTTCATGCACTTGGCATGCTCTCAAGCACTGGAATCCCAGCCCCTGTGTCTGATTTTCCATCCCTGCACCTTCAGCCTCAGACATGGGGACCCACGGGGCTACCCTGGATGGCTGCTGAGAAGCCAGGCAACTGCTGGAAAGAAGCCTTGGCCTGGGTCTACCTCCTCCCTTAGGTTCCTGGGCAGAAGGAGGTGGAGAGTCTGAGATCCAGGGCTCCCCTGGGGCCAGAGTGCAGGGCGGAGATGAGAGGGATGAACTCGGGGCTCCCAGAGGCACTGCACTGGAGTCAGACTCGAGTCAGTCTCACATATCCTCTAACCAGCCCTGCATCTTGGGTTGGTGGGGGTCCTTTTGTTTTTAGTATTTCTTTATTTATTTTTATTCATTTGGCTGCACCAAGTCTTCGCTGTAACTTGAAAAGTGGATCTTTCCAAGACCCACTCAGGATCTTGGATCTTCTTTGCACCTTGTCGGATCTTTAGTTTTGCCATGTGGAATCTTTAGTTGTGGCATGGAGACTCTCAGTTGGGACGTGTGGGATCTAGTTCCCTGAACAGGGATCAAATATGAGACCCCTTGCATTGGGAGCACAGAGTCTTAGCAACTAGACCACCAGGGAAATCCTTGGTGGAGGCTGTTTGGAACTTCCACTTTCTTCTCTAAAAATGTGGACCGTGACTCTCATCTCCCTGGGTTGTCGTTAGGGACTATAAATTGTTGTTTAGTCAGTCATGTCTGACTCTTTTGAGACCTCGTGGACTGTAGCCCTCCAGGCTCCTGTGTCCATGGGATTTCCCAGGCAAGAACACTGGAGTGGGTTGGCATTTCCTCCTCCAAGCGTTCCTCCCAGCCCAGGGATCGAACCTATCTCTCCTGCATTGGCAGGGGGCTTCTTTACCACTGAGCCACCAAGGAAGCCCAAGGACTATGAATTGGGCCTGTAAAATGCCGGGGGCGGGGCTTGGCTGCATTCTGTGCTCTTCTTCTGGGCCTGTGTGGGATTCCACTTTCCCACTGGTCTCGGCTGAAATTCAGGATCTCCGCAAGGACTCGCTCCCAGACAGCTGCTCCTTGCCTTCCACACCCCATGATCAAAATGCTAGGGGCCATGTTTCCTTCCGGGCCTCCTTCCATACCATTACTTTTTTCACTCCCTGTAAAAACCCAGCACCTTTGAGTCTGGTGCCATGAGGCACTGTCCCTCCCCCCATCCCATCTGCTCAGCCCTTAGGTGTTTCTGACACTGAGAAGTCATATCCTCGTGTGACTGTTACACATATTCCTCATCTCTGTCAGTAGGCACAGCCATATGACCGGCCTTGGCAGGTGAAATTTGAAAGGAGAGATGTCTTTTCCCATGTAGAGCATTTAGTTGTCAATGCAACATTTCACAGCTCTCTCCTTTTTTCTGCCTCTGAGGTCACAGGAACAGGGAATAAAGCATCCATCAGCCTAGGTCTCCAAATGACGAGGATGAGTACAATTCAGCTGCTGACTCACATCAGACATATGGCAGAAGGGAAAAGTTCAACTTTCACTGTGTTCAGTTCCTGAGCTTCTGGGTTGCTGCTTTCTGCAGCATGACAGCCCATATCCTGGGTTATAAAGCCTAGCTCACAGCCTGGGTCTCCAGTCCAGCCCTGCAGTCAACAGAGATGAACATACAGGTCACTGGTTCCATGGCTACTCACTTCCCAGCCTTTTCATCTCTTGTGCCCAGCACCCATGCCTGTGTGGCCCACGCCGCCTTCATCCACAGCTGTCCTGCCTCTAGAATAATGAACTAGGATAATTTCCGACCTTTTCTTCTCTGTTCTCATCTCACCCAGTCACTTGACCACTGGCCTTTTTCTGTGTCAGCCACCCCTGTTTGCATCCTTCCCAGCCTGTGAATTCAGGACTTTCTGTAACCTCACCTCTTCCCTGGCCAGTTCTCTCACTTCCCACACTCCACGCTTCTGTCCCGTGGCTGGGTAAAACCTCCACCTGCAATGAACCTACCTGGCTGCCCTCGTCAAGCCTTTGAGCACTGCTGAACAAACGACACCATTTAGCAGGAGCAGTGCCACGCTGGCGATTCTCTTTCCCTGGCCAGCTTTCTCCTGCTCCCTTCTCAGGCCATTCACACTTTCTCAAGTCTTTGGTCCACACCCCTGTCCCCCGCAACCCCATACTGGAGCTGCCTCTTTCCCTCTCAGCAGGTAACAGAGAAAATTCCTTGGCAAAAACGTTCTCAGCTTCCTGTCTCTGTTGTCACTTGCACCCCTTCCCTTGGGTCACACTGGGAGAAATTTCTGCATCTGGTACTTAACATCTCCTCCTAATCAAGGAGGCTGGGGTCTCACCACCTCATTCCCAACTCCCTTCTTCCCTGGACTCCTTGCCGCCCTCCAGCTGCTGCCCCAGCTCTCCCCTGCCCTCCCCCCAGGTCCTGGGGAGGATGTCTGGGTCTGCCGTCCCCACTTCCCTCTTCTCCTTACTCCCCAACCACCACCCCCTGCCTCCACAATTCATTCAGCACTGGCAGTGTCTACGAAGGGCCTGCAGGCCAGGCGCTGGACTAGGCCGGCTTTTCCCCAAGTCAGCAATGATCCTTCTGTGGCTGAAACAAGCAGGCCCTCTTAGGTTTTTAGTGCTAAACTTGTGATAGCACTTTACCCAGAAGCACTTTACCCCAGCATTTTACCCCGAAGACCTCTCTTGACTGTCCACGTACCTCTTTCTGGCTGCTCCTATCATGGTTTCTCCTCCATTCCACCTCCACCTGCAGTCCTCCCGACAACCCACCCAGGCTCCAGAGCCCATAGGAGTTTTAGGACTTACTCTGTATGAGAGCTTTGTTCTCTCCTGTAGCAATAACTATGGCCACTGCGACTGAGGAATTAATGATGTCATTATTTGCTTAAGGATGGCTTCTCCCATTAGAATGAAAGTTCTTTGAGGGCAGGGCTGTCTGTTTTGCTCACTGTTGTGTCTGATGATTAGTCCCTCACTGGTGCAGAGCAAGTCATTGTTGCATACAAAAGGTGGGGACCTATACCTGTCTTTTTCATCCTTGTAACCACAGCACCCTGTGTGAGGCCTGCTCAGAGAGTATTTGTTGAAACCTTACTGTGTTCAAGATTCTGTTAACCATGCAGTATACACACTTCCCAGATGGTGCTAGTGGTAAAGAATCTGCCTGCCAACGCAGGAGACATAAGAGCCGCAGGTTTGATCCCTGGGTCAGGAAGATCCCCTGGAAGAGGGCACAGCAACCCACTCCAGTATTCTTTCCTGGAGGATCCCCATGGAGAGTGGAGCCTGGTGGGCTACAGTCCATAGGGTTGCATAGGGTTCAGCGACTGAAGTGACTTAGCACTTAGCACATAGACTCTCTCATTTAATCCTCACGGAAACCTTTCACTTTACAGAATAAGAAACATAAGCCCAGAGAGGTTGTGTAACTTGTCCAATGTCACAGAGGCAGTGAATAACTGTCACGATCAGATTCCAGGTCTTACCTTGTAGTGAGCTCAGTGGTGGCCCCTCAAAGGTAAGTCCATGTGCTAACCCCTGGAACATGTAAGCATGACCTCCTTCGAAAAGGAAAAGGAGTGCTTGCAGATATACTTAAGTTAAAGATCTAGAGATGAGATCATACTGAATGAGGGTGTTCCCCAAGTCCAATGGTGAGGATCCTGAGATGGGACACACAGAGAAGGTAGCGAGAATGAAGGCAGAGGCAGAGATAAGAGTGATGCAACGACAAACCAAAGGCCAAGGATGGCCTGCAGCCACCAGAAGTGAGGACAGAGGTCTGGGACAGATCCTCCCTCAGAGCCTCCCAAGGAACCTTGCTTCAGACTTCTGGCCTCCAAAAATGTGAGAGAATACATTTCTGCTGTTTTAAGCCATTTCGTTTGTTCATTTGTTCCGGCAGCCCTAGGAAATGAGTATAGACCCCAAACCCCATGGCCATGTACCGTGCCTCCTGCCAAGCCTGCAAGGGAGCAGCCCTTGGAATCCCAGGCTGTGTGACTATGGCCTGGCCACTCGCCTTCCCTGGCCCTGATTCCTCTGGAGCAAAAGAAACACTTGGGGCTCTGAGTGTCCCTCCATCTCTGACATTCTACAGCCCTAAGTGAAATCATGAGCCGGGCAAGCAGGCCTCTGTTGGGATTTTCAAATTTATTCCAACGTGCTTTTTTTTTTTTTAAAAAATATCCTCAGGCTGAACACTCAGCCAGAGCTATAATAAAGGCAATTATTATACTTGTAAAAACTTCTCATTCACAGTACAGATGTAATTTACAACAAAGGTCACACATCAATACTGAGCAGTATTTTCTTTTTGTACATCAGACTCTGTGCTTTAGACCTGTGGGAGTTTTTGTTTTTTTTTTTTCCTTTTGCACTGATATATATACCATACCGACATTGCAAGATGCAAGTAGAGAAACTGGAGTTTAAATAAAATTACAGGCAAAACTACCCCATCCCAGTGTGGTTGCTGTACATATCTACAGTACGATTTTTGGAATGTATTGCCATATAAGAACATAGAAACTCTCTACAGACAATTTCACATACAGAATACATACACCTTTTAGGGGAAAAAAAAAAAGGCAAATTTGTATCTTACAGAGAGCATGTTATCTTACATTTGCCTATACATTTCTTTTTTTCTGTTTCTTTTCTCTTCCTTTTTAAACACTAGGCTTAGTAAAGTGATCATAAGTGCCGAAGCGGTTTTCTGATGGAAAGCAGACAGGATTTGCGACTCAGGAGCAGAATTGGTGGAACAGGTCTTTGGGAAATTTCTCCCCTTGGCCAGTGCTGCAGATCTGTCTCCAAGGACGGCTGCCCAGACAGGACTTTTACTTTGAAGAGGTTTTGTCTGGAGAAGGGACTAGAAAGCAATTCAGCTCAGTTATCTTGCTTATTCTTATTCAAAAGTGTTGGGTGAGGATGGAGCAGGGGCTACAGGGATCCAGAAATTAAATCTTTCAGACCTGTTAACACAGAGAGAGGTGGAGGGACTGCTGGGTCTGGAAGTTGGAGGTGATGGAGATGGGAGAGTGGGCAGTTCGCTGCTGTTGGCTTCCTGGAGGGTCTTAGTGGTCGGGGGCTTGAGGGGTGGTGGGGCAGGGGGAGTTGGCTTGTAAAAGGTGCCTTGGAGAGGAACAGGTTAGTTCCCAGAATGACCCTGAGCTTGTCCGGAGGGTGAAGGGCATCCTGGAGGGTAGACCTGGGGGCCGGCTGGCTTGGAATCCCCATGACAAGGGCTGGCTCGGAAACCCCAGCAAGTTGGTTTCTGGCCCCCAAGCCTGCCGACACCCGAGGACCAGAGCCGGCCTGTACCCAGGAATGACTGTCCTGGACATTTCAGCAGAACAAGAGACAGGTGTCTATGCCAATAATTAGCACTGCTTTCTCCACTGTGTCCCTTAACAGGGACAACAGTGTCACAGGCAAGCTGGGAAGGTGCAAGTGGTTGGGAGCAGGGCAGGAGGAGAGGAGGGTGTGACATGAGAGTCTTTCCCTTATCATGCAGGTGTGCGTGCGGGCTGGGAGCTCTGTGTTTGGGGGACCAGGAGTGGAGTGTGGCAGAGGGGGTGAGAGCCAGGCCCAGGGACACATAGCCCAGGCGGGTGGCATCAATTCCATTTCTCTGGGTGCCTGTGTAGGGCAAAAACCTTTTGGCCAGATTGCTTGGACATTGTGTCTGTCATTGAGAAATGGGTCTCTGGTGACTCCTGGCCCCCATCCCCTCTGCCTATACCTGACTCTCCCCTGCTGGCCACCACCGGCCTTGACTAGGGCTCCAGGAAGGAAACCTTAGTAGTTGGGCTGTCTTGAGTACCCAAGAAATGATGTCAGGGGAGAGCTGTGGGGCAGGGCTTGGAGGAGGGGCCTGGCTACCCCCAAGGTCAGGGGCTACTCTAGCAGAGCCCCCTGTTTGCTGCTCTGTAGGTCTGGAGCTGGAAGATCTTGCCCAGGAAGATTTCAAGCATGGGCTGAAGCACTGCCCTTTATCCAGCTCCCAGGCCTCAGCCCTTGAAGTCTCTAGTCCTTAGGCAGCCACCTTCCCATGCCCCTCACCTCTGCCCTGGGGTGAGGTTGGAAAGCAAAGGTGAGGAAAAACCCAGCCTCTGGCTTACGCTGTGACTGGGGCCCAGGGCTCCTTCCAGCTTTCTGCCAGGCCCCACCAGTGCCAGGATAGCCAAGGCTGGGCTTGTTAGCCTTCTTCTAGGGGGACCAAGAGCTTCAGACCCTGGGTCAGGCAGCCAGAAAGTGCTGGCTAACCCCTAGCCCCAGCACCCTGGAGCCCAGCCATCGCCTCTCCTAAAGAAGCCCTTCCCTATTGTTCCCTTTTTGTCTTAGCCAGAGGGAAATGAACCAGGTGGTCTGGCTGGAGGCTGACTGTGGCTAGTTTGTCCTGGCAGCAGAGTCCAAGGAGGGGAAAGTCCTGAAATGGTGGAAGAGGGAATTATGCCCAAGGATAGGAGCCCACAGAGGTGCCTCTGCATGGTGTAGCTCTCTACACCTTATGGTGTCCTGTCTAAATAACTTCAACAGCCCAGGAGCCCCCTCTGGCCACAGGATTCATACAGCCTGGCTGAGGAATGGGGACGGGCCAAGGAGGTCCCTGCTCCACGGCATTAGCACCTAGCCTGGCTGGGCTATGACCACGGTCCTTGTGCTTTCTCCTCCTGGTAGAAACAAAATAAAATAATTTCTGGAGGTTGGGGAAACCCCACCTATCCCAGGGCTGGGTAAACATGCTAGAGTTCAAGTTCCATATTTCAACTTGGGATTTTAATTTTTAGTCATGTTATTATTATTATTATTTTTTTTACAAAGCAGGCTTTTGCCCCAGAAAATACAGGGCAGCTTCTTAAAGGAGGAGATGGGGATGAGGATGAGGCACTAGTTATTCTTGATTGCTTTGGAGAAGAACTGAAATGACCTTGGACAATAGGAGGCTAGGGGAAATATCAAACACCATTCTCTTTCTACATATATATATATATATATATATATGTATATGTATATATATACATATATAATTTTATTTTTTAAAAGAGATTTAAGCCAACCAATAGGAGGCCTGGGCAGTTCCCACCAGTCATGGTTCTGGGAACTTCCTGGGGATATTAGAGGCCTGACAGTATGTGATACAGAAACAGGAGGACCGATCCTGCTGCAAAGAGGTCCAGAAATGAGTCCTTGGAAACTTCCAGTGCCAAGTACCGGAAAAGCCCAGTCATGGAGGAAATAGAGCCCTTTGTACCCCAGGGACCAAATGTGAAATGAAGCCCAAGCCTGGCCTTGGGAATGGCAAGGCAATGCACCTTGGATCTTGACCCCCAGGGGTTAGGCCTTGTCCCTTCAGCCTTGTGGGTAGTTTCTAGAACAAAGACGCAGCAGTGGCTGGGGCCCTGATAGCGAGGCTGAGGTCAGGTTCTTAGGAAAGGGGAGATGGGTGGTCAGGGCTCCTTTCCCAGTCCAAAGGTTGAGGGCGGGGTGTGGAGTAGAGGTGCTGGGGTGGAGGGACTTGTCTACGGGTCAGATGCCAGAATGGGATCACGATTCAGACCACCAGGGTGTCTGGGAGCCGTGGGGACCCAACCAGCAACTACCTTCTACTTGCTCCAAATAGTTTGTGTTGAATTCCTAGGAAAATTTACCTTTTTCTTTGGAAAAAGAAAGTTGGAGTTTTCTGGGCCTGCCCATGGAGTCTCCCAGCCTTGTCCCTCTGCCTTGGGCCGCTGACCCTTCTGCTAGCAGCCAGGGGAAGCCACTTAGCTGGGGTGGGATGAAGCAGCAATAAATAGGAACCATAAACATCTGTACATAGGAGTGCTTGCTTTTACATTTACTTATATATTTTTAAAAGTTTCTTTTTTTTTCCCCTCTGTCTCTCCCTCAGTGCATCCCCTTTCTTTCAGCAACTGACTGCCTCTTGCCAGCTTTGTGGATGGCTGCTGATCGCAGTGGCCCAGGGTGAGGCCCCATCTAAATATTCACAGCCTCAGTCTCCTCGTGGGTTTTTTTTTTATGTTTGTGTGTGTGTTGTTTGTTTCAAGCAACAAAAGGTCATAGAAAAAGGCACAGGTAACTGCATACGAGGTGGGAAGATAAGACAGACGGGGGCGCTGAGCAGAAGCTGCTTGGAAAGATCAACAGATGGGACACGGAGCCCGTGACAGCAAGATGATTCGAGGAAGTCGGCTGGAAATGTCTGTTGCCAAACACCAGAAGCCAGATGCTGAAGCGGTCAGGGAGAGGCTAAGTGCTCCGGGGCCCCCGGTCCTCGGGCTGGTGTGGAGGTGCCCCGGGCCCCCCACTTCCCAAGGGCTGGGGGGAGCCCTGACTGGTCCTGGGTTCCCCAGAGAGGTTCCTCCTCCGGGCTGGGAAGCGAGCAGAGGTCTCGGCCAGGCAGCCCACAGAACTGCTGCGGTCCAGCGGCGGGGTGGTGGAGGCCGCAGAGTTGGCCGGCACCCGTGGTGACTCCAGGTGGGGGCTCCGGGACTCTGCCTGGCGGCCCAGGGGTGCCCGGGGTGAGGCCTCGGGTGGGGTGCGGGGGCTGTGCATCGGCGCGAGCTCTGTGGGCACTTGGGACGCATGGGGCTCCCAGTCGGGAGGTCTGCTCAGGCCCCCTCTCGTCCTCCCCCTCTCCTTGGGGTAGTCCCTGGTCTCCAGCTCCGAGGAGAGTGTGAATTTGGAGACCTTGGCCACGGGGGACACGGAGGCCGACGAGCTCTCGGTGGGGCTCCAGCGGCCTCGCTCCTGGGCCTCCCGGGACCCGGTCAGGTCGCTTCCGCCCCCCGAGAAGCCGCTGATCCAGGCCTCACGGGGCCCGGGCAGCAGGACAGGGTGGGCCCCCGGCCGGGCCTGCACCATCTGGATCCCGCCGATGGGAATCAGGGGGCACGGGGCGCGGGTCAAGCGCTGGGAGTGCAGAGGCAGGTGGCTGAAGATGTTTTCCGTCCGGGCCGGGCTGTGGCCGTGGAAGTCGTGGGGGGCCGAGAAGGGTCGGGAGAAGAGAGGAGCGGGGGCAGGTGAACAGGACGGACTTGGCGACTCGGCCTTCTGCTAGGGTCAGAAAAGAAGACAGAGGGAGGCGAGGGTTACCTGCTGGGCACCTGGAGACCCTGAGGACTAGAGTGAGGAGGGGACTTGGTGAGATCACAGAGCAGGTCCTGGCTGAACGAGGCCACCACCGAGTCCCAACCCTTGCCCATGGTGTCGCCCTGGGTGGGTGCCCTCTCTGGAATGGGCCGTCCCCAGCCCTGCAGTGACCACAGGCACACTCAGGAACCAAGGTCCCCACGCTTCCGGCCGGTCTTCAGAGAATGGGGATGCCCTGTCGGCTCTCATGCCGCTGTCGGTTCTGCTGCCTCTCCTGTTCCTCAGACAAGACTGACCCAACTTTACCCTTGAACGTGAGTTCCCACCCCAGGCTCTTAACCTCCTCCCACCACCAAGAATCTGTCTGCAATGTGGGAGACCTGGGCTTGATCCCTGGGTTGGGAAGATCCCCTGGAGAAGGGAAAGGCTACTCACTCCAGTATTCTGGCCTGGAGAATTCTATACAGTCCATGGGGTCACAAAGAGTCAGATATGACTGAGCGACTTTCACTTTTTCACCATCAGGAATTTTAACTTGAGCCCCAAATTAAAAACCAAGATTCCTCGATGGTGCTACCCCTGGAGCTCGAATCTCTGAGTGATGGTGCTGATGCTGCTGGCAGTGAGCAGAGGTGTTGGGTGCTGACAATCCAGTGACAGAAAAGGTGTTGGGAGGGGAAAAGTAAGCCGACGATGATAACAGTGTCAGTGCTGGGGATCGTGACCGTGGTGGTGACAGTGATGTGACAACGGTGATCAAACTTAAGCGCTAGGTGGGGCTGGAGTGTACTGATGGCAGATGGCACTGGTGATGCGACAGTGATGGTGCTGATGGTAGGATGGGATGGAGTTGGCTGAAGTGACTCGGAGGGTGCTGGTGGCAGTCATGTTGGCGATGTGGAGATTTTGGTTGGGCTCTGCCATCTGCTCAAAGAATACGTGGAAATGGGGTGGGAGGAAGTGGCATGAGTATTTATACCCACATCTAAGGCCACACGGCTCGTGAGTGACAGAACCTGCAGTTAATTCTGGGAAGTCCAGAATTAAAAAACCACCAGTCGTCCCTGGTGGCTCAGATGGTAAAGAATCTGCCTGTGATGCCGGAGACCTGGATTTGATCCCAGGGTTGGGAAGATCCCTTGGAGAAGGGCACGGCAACCCATTTCAGTATTCTTGCCTGAAGAATTCCATGGACAGAGGAGCCTGGCCAGCTACAGTCCATAGAGTTGGACATGACTGTGCAACTAACACTTCCACTTTCACTTTCTTTCAGTCCAGCTCGAGTCCATGCTCTGCTGCTTCTGACACATAAGTAACTGGCTTCAGGCACCCAGCACAGTGCCTGGGGCAACAGGCGCCCAATGCATGCCTTACTGGTAACTGCTGAACCGGCAGGGGTGCAGCTCCGGGTGTGACGCTCAGGGAGGTGTGAGCTTGCGGCCCCCCCCCCCCCATCAGCCACTTGGGGGACAGGAACTCACCCACGTGGAGGTGCAGGTCTCCGCTGGGCTTCTGCCGAGAAGCTTGTGAGGTAGAGGCGCGGGTGGGTAGAGAGCCCGGGGGGCCAGCCCTGAGCCTGGGCCACGCTCGGCTGCCGAGGGGCTGCCCGGCCCCACCAAGGCCCACTTCCCTGGCAGCGCTGACCGTGGTGGTGACTCGGCCTGGCCTGGAGACCATCTTCTGGTGGGCGAGTGTCTGGGGGGGCCTGGGTCTGCAGCGCCCTTGCGTTCGGGGGGCAGGCGTGCTCGAGGAGGCAGTTCCCTTCCCAGGTGGTGGAGGGCAAGAGGAGACAGCTCGAGTCTAGGGGACCCGCAGGGGAAGGGGCCCGTCTGGGGGCCAGGCGGGCTCGGGGCTGAGGCCAGTGGCTCTCGGGCCGGTGAATGTCGCTGGGGAGACGAGTCGCTTTTGGTTAGTGAGTGTTTTGGGATGAGTGGTAGGTGGCTGCCTGCTTCTTTGCTTGGGGACCACGGCCTCCTCGGGGACACAGCCTGGGAGCTCAGGGCCAAGCCTGTGTCCTTCTCCACGGGGCCCCGGGGGGCTGGTGCCAGCCGGGGGAGGCACAGGATGCTTTGGCTGGGTGTGGAGCAGCTGCCGGGTGCCGAGCGCTCAGCTTCTGAGACCGAGCTGCCCCGGGTGGCCTCTGTGGGCTGAGGGCCCTGAACAGGTGAGGAGTCTGCCGGCAGCGTGGCTGGCGGGCCAGGCGGGGGCGCCTCCGAGGACGGGCCTGATGGCTCGTCCTGGCTCTCCTCCTCGTCCTCATCCTCGTCTTCGTCCAGGTCCGAGTCCGAGTCCGAGTCGTCCAGGTCTGAAAACTGGTGCTCGGCCACGGCTTCTGCGCCCTCTCGCCCTTCCGAGTCCTGGAATGGGTCATCACTGGTTCCTGAGGGACAGACACAGGAGAGCCGCGGTCACAGCCTCTCACCTGCTGCTCGGGCCACAGGCCCCACCTGACAGCCAAGGTGGCTGAGGCTATGGGAGCACTTTGTGAAGACAGCAAAGATGACCTTGGATCTACCATGTTCAGGTTCAGTTCTAGGACCTGCCTGTGCGTTAATTCACCTAACCCACAAATAATCCTGCCAGGTAGCACTAATCCTATCTTCATGTTACAGACAGGGAACTAAGATGACAGAGTTTACCTTACCTTGCCCAGGTAAAGTAAGTAGTAGGGCTGGTATCGAACCACAGCAAACAAGACAGCCCTTTTCTTTCTTTTTCTTTCTGGTTAGTATTCAGTGCTGGCTTCACCATGAGCAAGTTAAGTCACTCTGCTGGGCCTCTGTCTCCGTCTTTGTCAAATGAATATGGCAGTCTCATCTCATAGGGCTTACGGGGAGGAGGAGACACATGCCCGCACACAGCGAGGGCTCTATTAACTGGAGTCACTCAACGCGTTCATGGAGACATCTATTATTCTGGGACACAGCAGCCATTGCTGGCGGGTCCAGCAGCACTGGGCACAGTCAGTTTTACATACACACCTGCCCCTGTGACCAGGCTACTGATGCCTGATACAACAGCAGGTGGCAGGCCCTGTTATCTGGGAAGGTTTGGCTAAGCTGACCTCAGCCCGCAGAGAGGGCCTCTTCCCAACCACTCATGTCCAGAGAAGGTGCTTGTAGAACTCCTGGTGCTCCCAGCTGGGGAGGAGAGTGGAGCTCTGAAATACCAGCCTCCTGGTCCGACTTCGGGTGGGGCAGCCCCACCAGCGGGGTCAGCTCTAACAGGACACAGGCCTAGTTTGGGCATCTCTGAAGGTGGCAGCAATCAGAACTCTGGGGAGAGCTCTGCTAACATCTAGCCCACCTGGCAGGCTCCTGAGGGTTTCGGTCCTGCTGGCCCAACACTAAGTTCATGTCAGCCCCCCTCGACTACTAAGAGAGATGACTCAGGGCACTGGTACAACCACGATTCTGGACCCCACCATGCCAAGCTGCACCGGGACCAGAAACCCCAGCATTTGTACTTTCAAACAGCTCAGCACTCATCAATAAGATGCACACAGTGGATGACAGTCGGCATTTAAGAAGATGTAGATCAAAAACTATGGGGTGGAGGAGCTGGAGCTGTCAGGTGAAGGGCAGCCAAGGGCATGACCTCCTGGCAGCTGGGAGCAGAATGACCAGAGTGGGGGAAGGGGCTGGGGACCAGAGAGCAGGGGTCGTGAGGGGGGAGCAAAACATACCTTAAAGCTTTGCCCTAAGACTTTAGCCCCAGGAGTTCACCTAGCCTCACCTCTTGTCAACTGTGGGGAAACCCACGCCCAGAGCAGGCAAATGCTTCCCCAAGGTCACCCAGAAAGTAATGGCTGAGTCAGGCCTAAGGTTTATAACCCCTGCATCATTACGCTGCCAGTTTAAAAATGTTTTTATGCACCGAGAAGCAGGAAATGGTCTGGGTTTGAATCTCAGTCCCACCCCTTCCTTACCGTGCAATGTTGAATAATTTACTTTTTCTTTCTGGGTTCAGTTTCCTTGTCTGTAAAATGGCGGTGGGGTGGGGAGGGGTAAGAGTAATAAAAGCCACTTTATGAAGCTGTTGGGAGGATTGTGAGGGTCTGACACCTAGTAAGTAACCAATAAACCTCAGCTCTTCTCACTCCAAGTACCCCACAACCTCAACACACTGGCAGCACAGCCAGCATCTCACGCTGCAGTTGAAGGTCAGAAGGGTAGTGCTACTAGTCAGGGAGTCAGGATCAGCGGCTCCTCATATTCAGCAGGAAAGATCCTCAAGTCTCTTCGTAACAGACGAAGAAGCTGAGGGACAGAGAGGGCGGGTGCCCTGCCCCAGGCACCCAGCTCAGGAGTGATGGAAGCCAAGAATCCCCTGCCCAGCACAAGGTTCGCCAGGCCCCCCACATCTGGGCTCTTGCAGGGCTCTACGGGAGGCCCCTGCCGATCGACTATTCCTATGCCCCTCACTGTCAATCTCCACAAAGTCCCGCCTCTCTGGGGCCTGGGACGGGTGGAACGAAGCGCTCCGGGGCGCTGGTGGGGTCTGGCCACACGGTGGCGCTGGTGCTCAACCTCCTCACCCTCAGGGGCGGGGCTGCGTCGCCGGCCTGGCCACCTCCCAACCACTTCGCGTCTAACAGACAAACTCCTCCCCGAATCTTCATCATCGCGGGAAATGGCAACTCCGTCCTTCCAGTTTCCTAGGCCATAAACCTCGGAAATCATCCTTGGCTCTTTTATTCTCATGCTTTCACCCTCCGCCCCCCGCCCCCCGCCCTGATGTGCCAGCAAAACCTGACCGCACGTTTCTCCACCTCCCTCCGCCCACCCAGTCCAACACGTGCTCAGCCTGCATCAGCGCCTCCAGCCGCGCCCCACACCGGCCGTCCTCTGCATACAGAGTCAGGGCAGTTGCTCCAGCACGCGGCTAAATCCATCCCTTGACCTTCACAGCCACAGCTCTCTGACTCTTGCCCTCAGGGGCTCTGCACCTGCTGTTCCACCTGCAGGGAGAGCCCTTCCCCGGGCTCCACATGGCTTCCTGACCCCTGCCTCATGCTCGCGGCTCACATCACCTGAACAGAGAGGCCGCTCCCCACACTTCCCTACCTGTCATGGGTGCTTTGGTTCACACTCAAGGCTCTTGCCCTATCCCACATTTGTTCACTACCCGGCTCCCCTCTAGAATGCAGGCTTTCTGAGGACAGGAACTATATTTCATTCATTGAAGAATCTCTAGCACCTAGAGTAGAACTTAGAATAGGGCTGGTGCTGGCAGGAATTATTTCTAGAACGATTGCACTGGTTTCATGTGTTCTCAAATAAGGTCATCTTTTTTGGCCTCATTGGGAAAATGAAGCTGAAAGAGGGGCAGAGACAGTTCAGGGTCCCCCACGCAGGGCTCTGGGCTTGGGTGCAGCTCCCCTGTCCAGCCCACCAGGCACTGGAGTGGCATGGACCCAGGGTTTTTGTCTGACCTCAGGCAAATTCCATAACCTGTTTGAGCTTTACTAAATGTCTTCAATTTAAAAAGGAGTGACACAAGTTTCTAACACAGTTATGAGGACTTAATGAGACATCCGTAAATGGCTTGATGTACTTTCTTGATAAACCTGGTAACCCCACATTCTCATTTTGGAGGCCACAGCTCCGAGTTCACTGTATTCTGTTCAATAAAGCTGATTCATTTCACCTAAAAGGAAATATGACCTAACTTGTTTTTAAGACTGCACATACATTCCCAAATCAGATAAACAAAGAAATAAGACACAGGAACACACACCTCTCCTTTTCACACTCTCTTGACTCTGATTTTAGGGGATCTGGTCAAAGGTTTGCTCACTGCGGAAGGACCATCTCTGGTTGCTTATCTACCCCCAAAGCTGCTGCACTGGCCTCCTTCTTGGATGCTGAGGCCTGGCAGGGCCCAGCCAGACATGCTGACTTGGATTCGCCTTCCCCTCTGCCTTGTCTTCACAGAAACTGGCCCTAATATGGCTCTAATATTGCTGCTGGGGGACTGAGGCTGGAGTGCGGTGCTGGGACATGGGATGGGATTGAGAGGTGACAGGGGGGCTGTCAGGTCTGCCTGGCTTCGAGTATTTTTAAAGCCCCTAGCTTTAAAAGACCTGGGCATCAAGCCCATGTCCATGGTGTGGAGGTGTGAGTGTGGGTGTGGAGCATATAAGAGTATGTACCTCACTGTGTCATTGTAAGGACTTGCCAAGATAACCACAGCACATGTCTAGAGTATGCCTGACAGAGTGGGTGCTCAATCAATGTTGACTATAATTACTCAAGTATTAATGTAACCACCATACATTCACTGAGCACCCACTGGGTGCTGGGTGCTCCAATGCGTGACAGATAGCAATGCACAAGTGCTCTGGCTCCAGACGCGTGCTGTAAGAAGGAGGGGCGTGGGTGCTATCGTTCTGTGAACTTAACCTTTGTCTCTTTGTATTTGGGAAAACTGGAGAAGAGGGTGAGGAAGGAGAGGAGGAGGGGAAGCAGAGGCAAGGAGGACAGAAATGAGGGGGAGGGCCAGGGGGCTAGGAGAGGGAAGGGAAGATAGGGGGAGGGGGAGGAGGGAGTTGGCAATTCATTACCTTCTTCGGCTTCCAGCTCCTCCAGCACCCCCGTCTCTTGGCACTTTTTGCTGTGGGCCTTCGACTTCATATGCTTAGTCAGATTCCCTGGAAAGGAATGAGAAGACTCAGGCATGGCTGGAGGGCAGGGGGCCAGGGTGGCGCCTGGCGGGGCAGGTGCCAGGACATCCCTCTGCCCAGGAGCTCAGGTGGGGGTGCAGCCATGGCCGCCGTGCACGATGGTACAGAGGAGTAGGGTAGGGTGGGTGAGGGGCTGTGAGGGGACAGAGAGTACAATGAGGAAGTGAGATGCTGGTTAAAAATAAAACAAAAGGAGATTAAAAGACAAGTCATATGCAATCGTTTTTTTCCTGCCTTTTGGGCCCAGAAGCTGGTGACAGGATTGCTGACCATCTCAAATGCTGGGATGAGAGCAGGGAGCCAGCCCATGAACTAGCACGGGAGTGGGTACTGAGGATATCCGTCTGCTAGGCCAGCCCACAGGGAGGGATCTTAGGGTTTGGGAGGAGGAACCAGGACAAAGTTACTGCTATTAACAGACATGGAGAAAGGGCAGAAGGCATAGCGAAGTCTGCTAGACAGGGACCTGGGGGCCACAAGGCTGGGGTCCAAGTCCTGACTTTCTTAGAGAATCACGTCCCCTTCCTGGGCCTCCAAGGTCACTGCCATGCAGACATGGCCAAGGGCGGTGCACACAGGGAAGGCTGAGCAAAGGCTGTGTCCTCCCCATGACTACAAAGCCCTCGGGGGGTGGCTGTCTCTGTCCGCAGTGGGCTGAAGGGCAGAGACAGCAGCTCTGTGGAATCAGGAGAAACACCACGACACCGATTCTCCCCAATGTGTGCATGGCGCTTCACAGGCCACAAATCCCTATGAGCAGGAGCGTTCACGAAGGACCAGCAGGGGAGCCCCCGCTCGCCGCAGGATGCAGGCCAGGTGCCTTAGGATGTTCCTTTGGGCTCAGCAATCGCCTCCAGCTGTGATGTGCTCACTGTTGCTCTAGAGATTGCTGTGTTTCCATGTGGTCCTTCATATAATAAATCACAAGGCCCTTGAGTCAGGTATTCTGTCTCACTCATCTTATTAGCAGGTTTGAACAGATGGATGAAAGACAGAAGAATGGACTCCAGGAACAGATGCGAAGAAAGATTGGTGGACAGATATATGGATGGATGGAGAAGTGGGTAAGAGGAAATATGGAGTGACAAACAGGATGAAGAGGAAGGATCCAGACAGATGGGTGGGATATTCAAGCAGATAAGCAGATGGACAGACAGATGGAGGATAAAAATAAATAGAAGGATAGATGGAAAATAGATCACTAAACATATGAGAAGATGAGAATGGGAAAGAAGGAGACCTGGGCAAGTGGGAGAAGGGCTGGTTGGATGGATGGATGGATGCAGCACATATAAATGGGAAGGCAAACAGACAGGAGGATAAAAGAATGGGAAGGTGGATGGAAGGATGGACTGGTGGGAGGACAAATGGGAGAGGTGGAGAAGCAGATGAGAGGGGAAGATGGGAAAACAAATGGACAGGAAGACAAACTCTTAGGATGAGAAGATGGCAGAAACGGATAAATGGGAGGATGGATGGGTGACTAGGGAGAGAGCACCCATGCATGAATGAAAGTGTTTTTCTTAATTATTTGGAGAATTTTAAGGAACCTTAGGGTTTTGCTCAGAGGTAACAGGAGTCTTAAGCTGAGATTGCCTGAGGTGTGCAGGTCAAGGGCAGCAGAGATGGAGAGAAGCTGTTTCTTTCCCCTTCCCTCCTGCTAGTCCTAAGTCTGTGACTCCATCCTTCCCTCAGATTTTCTTCCTTTAACTGGACAGAAACCTGGATCTGCTGCTACTGCTGCTGCTAAGTCGCTTCAGTCGTGCCCGACTCTGTGCGACCCCATAAACGTCAGCCCACCAGGCTCCCCTGTCCCTGGGATTCTCCAGGCAAGAACACTGGAGTGGGTTGCCATTTCCTTCTCCAATGCGTGAAAGTGAAAAGTGAAAATGAAGTCGCTCAGTCGTGTCTGACTCGTAGCGACCCCATGGACTGCAGCCCACCAGGCTCCTCAGTCCGTGGGATTTTGCAGGCAAGAGGACTACTCCTGGCCAAATGGGGAGCAGAGTCATAACTTCGAGTCATCCCAGGGCCAGAGGATCCCCAACGTCCCTGCCTAACATCATGGGCCTCTGCCCCCACTGTTGTGAGCAGGCAAAGCCTGAGCAGGATGTCAAGGGGCGGTCAAGGCAGCGGGGGGTGTTCCATAGGCCAGAGAGATCAAATGTCCCCTGAGGTTCTGAGACCAGCCTGCCATTCCCTGACTACCCCAGACCCCAGGGGACTAGCCACACTGCTCATCTTGGCTATGACATTATTGTTGGACCTGTTCTGTCTGGAAGGGTTGGGTTTCTTACTTAACCAAGTCAGGTGCTGAGCACACTATGGGTGCATAATAACCGTAAGTGGGAAATGTTCTTCTAATCACAGAAGTGAAGTGTTGGGAGGAACCTCACAGACCATGTAACCCACCCCCTACCAGGCCCAGGGTCTTCCTGCTTCTGTTCTGACTCCTGGCCCTGGTGCTATGATGCCACTGGATGAGATAATCAGCTGTCTCAGGAGATGGGATGCTCTGGGACAGCTCCTGCTCACCATCACGGAGAAGCAAACAGCCAAAGCCACGAGACCAGTTACTGCAGAGCCTGTCTGGAGCCAGGTCTCAGGACTGCAGGTGCCTTGCGTGCTCCATACTGGTGAAACAGACCAAGGCATGGAGGAGCTTGGTGGCCTTGGGTCTTAGCCTGGGCTCTGTCGCTTGCTAGCTATGTGTTCTTGGGCAAGTGTCTTAACCTTTTGAGCCCCAGTTTCTGCAACTGTAAAGCTGTACCTACCTCGTGGGGATGCTGGGAGAAGCTGACGAACAAACACAGGTAGAGTGGCCGCAGAGCGTGCCTGGCAGAGAGCAGATGCCACTGCGTGGAGCCTCCTTCCTTCCCATACTGTGTGCTACCCCACCCCCCGCCTCCAACAATCAGTGTTTATTGAGCACCTGGGAGACTGCCACAGCCACACACTGGCTGTGGAAGAGAGAGAGATGCTGAGATGAGGGCTATGATGTAAATGTTTTCACCAGTCTGTCTGGGCTCAGCAACCCCAGGAGAGGGTGCCAGGCAGCCCCTGGATGCCAGCTTCTCCTCTGCCCCTGCCCCAGAGCTGCAGAGAAGAGCTGGGAGTCTGAGTGGCTGCTGGGATAGGCCATGGGGACACAGGGGTGGATGTGCAGCCCTAAGTGTTACCCAGCACCCTCCCTGAGTATCCCCTCTGTAGGCCTGCCTGCTCCTCTGTGAATTGAGGGAGGCGAACCAAATGGCCGCAGGTGTCTTTTTTGGTCTGGACACCATTTCCTTGTCAAGGGTCAGAGCTTCAGCTATCCAAGCAGAGTTCACAACTTTTTGCCATTGTCCCAGCTCCCCCATTCCAAACCTGACAGTCCTGGAATGGAGGAAAGGCAAGCGGATGGAAATGATGGGCGTCTGGAACACAGGTGGATCCTCCACCAAGAGCATCAGCTGAAGACCGTGTCTGCCCCATTTGGCTTTGGGCTTTGACCAACCACCCTCCCTCAGCCGCTGAGGGCTGCTCCAAACTGCCAGCTCGGTCCGCAGGCGATCGGCGCAAGGGCCTGTACCCAGCACAGCCCTTCTGCTGGCCTCGGGGAACCTTCTCAGAAGAGGACACAGGACCCCAGACCCCCACAGGGACGTCCCAGTGGGCCTTCCCTGGCCTCACTCACTGAGACAAGCCGGTGCGAGCACCCAGGGACCGGAGCTGTTGTCACAACGTCTGACACAGAGACGGAGACACAGACAGGCAGACAGAGACGGACAGGAAGGCTCTCTAGCCGGTGCAGCCAGGCAGTGGTGACGGAGGGCCCTGAGGACCGCCGGGCCCAGCTTCATCTCTCTTGCAGCCTGAGCCCAAGGATGAGGGGAGGGAGGAGATGGAGGCAGCTGGATGGAGGCAGGAGCCCTGAGAGAAGGCTATCTCCTTTGGTATCTGGGCTGATGGCTGAAGGGTCCGGGGAGTAAGGAGAGCTTCAGTGTCTCATGGCTTCCCTCACTCTCCTGCTTCGTGCAGAGACAGCCAAGAGTGAGCTGGCTCTGCTTCCATCTGTCACCGCCCATACTAGCCGCTCTCTACCTCCCAGAGTCTGAGATTCCACTATCTCAGATGCGCTCACTGCTCTGGCTCTGGAAGGTTTTTGTCTTTCAGAGGTTCTAGGAGCCTTGGCAGAGCTCAGCACATGCCCCATCGCAGGGTGAGAGGGAATCCTCCTGGGCGGGGCCTTCAGGGCTCCGCCCCCAGGTTTCATCCCAGGCTCCGCCCTCTGGCACTCAGAGGGCCTGCTGACATTCCACGTAGGTTATGTGCTCTGGACCCTCCAAGGCTCAGGGGGACTCAGGAAGGGACTGCAGATAGCTCAGCTGTGTGGCTTCCAATGCAGGAGTCTCCTGGAAAAGGGGTGTTCCTGCCAGGGACCCAGACCTCTCAGACTTGCTGGAAAAAGACTAGGCCTTTGCTCTCAATAAAGCCAGAGAGAATTGAAAAGAGATTGCTCTGGGAGACTGCTCTGGCCAGGGACTCGGCTCAGTGGATCTTTCCAGTCTCACATGCAGGATGATGGCTCTCCGAGGTGGTGGGCAGCTCTGCGTGGCCCTGGGCTGGGGGGTTAGGGGGTGCTCTCAGGACTGGGCTCCTAACACTGAGGATAGGATGGTGTGGTCCCCTGGATGGCCTGGGAGTTGGGTCAGCAGAGATCCACTCTGGAGGCCACCTGGTTGGCCACCTGATTTTGCCAGTCCTTCCAGACAAGGGGAAGAGAAGAAGGTGGCCGGGGTTATGCCCCAGAGGCAGGGGTCCTAGCTGATAGCTATAGCTCCAGCTTTAACAGTCATTTCTGGCTTGCGGGGCAGGAAGGGGGAGACTCATTTTCTTTACTTTCATGGGGGGGGCTTGGACAAAAGGTTTTCGGCATTCAGAGTCAAAGACCATTATCTGAATTGTTGGTGAATGGCTATCCAATTATTGAATTTCCATTTCTCTCCTCCAGAAAGTCCCAAATGGCCCCCTAAGGCCAGAGGCAGGTACGTGGGGCATGGAGCCCAGGACTAGAGCTGAGGCCTGCTAGGTGAGTGTCCTGCACACAGCCGGGCTGCAGGCCTATCGGTCCTCTCTGGGCCCTCTGAACTGTTGTTGATGAGACACCAAGAAAGAAGAGGGTCAGGGCAAGGAAGGAGGATGGTCGCCTGTTTCCAAATCAAAACCTTGGCGGAAAAATTCGAGCTCCAGTTGGGAATGATGGTGCCGAGGACAGAGGAGGACAGGCTGACGGGGTCAGGAGACCAGAGACGAGCACCTAGTCGGAGAGGGGGCCGTGAGCGAGGGGGTGAGATAAAGTGCCCCCAACCTAGTGCTGAGAGAAGGGAAGGGATCGGGAGGAGGAAGAAGGAAGACTCAAAGGCCAGAGCGGCCTCCTCAAAGCCACCCAGCCTCTCTCTCTGGGAGCAGCTATACCCACAGAAGGAAGGCTAACGGGCATCAAAGCCAAACCTGCTCTCAAGTTGCATCCACTGAAAAAACATGTGGCCCTGGAGGGAGCTGTCGTGGAGGCCCCCAACTTGCCCGAAGGAGAAGGCAGGACCCTCGTGTTCAAACCCTGAGCCAGAAATCTGCCAAGCACAAGAGGCTGAAGCCACCAGGGCTGCTGAGAGCCCAGGCCTTCCTCGGAGGCACCTTGGTCTGCTCGGTTACCAGGAAAGAAGAAGTGGGTCACCATGCCTTTCCTGCCCTGTAGAAGCAGCCCGTGGAAGGAGCAGAGAATAGCTCGGTCCAAGTCTCGCGGACTCAGCCTCACTGGTTCATGCCTGGGTCCTGGGTGGCTGCAGCGGCCGTGGCTGCCCGCATCATCCAACACAGCCCTTTGGATTCACACCCTCACCGGCCAGTCCGCCTTCCTCTCACAGGTGACTGCCAGAGCCTGAGCTGACCCTGAGGTGCTGCGTGGCCAGGGCAGGAATGACAGGGGCTGCCAGTCAGGGTGAGGGGAGAGCCCAGCCCAGTGCTGAGGGCTGCGGAGAAGCTGGGCAGAGCAGGAACACGGACTGAGTAGTGAGGCGAGGTGGAGGCAAAGTCTGGCATGAGAAGTGACCATGCGAGTGTGTTAAGTGGCTCGGGGTGGAATGGATTTCCAAACTCAAGAGTGGCAGTGACCAGTGTGGATGCTGGAACTCATCAGGTCGGTGGATAAAGGGCTAAGGAGACATGCAAAAGGAAGCGGGGTGATGAGATCAAATACAAAACCAGGAGCTGTGCGCTAGAGTGCCACCGCCTGGCCATGGTGGGAATCGCATGGGTGGAGGGTGGATGGGGCCAGTGTGGGATCTAAGAGGACAGGCTGGGCAGCCGACGGTGACACTGCCCCGTCTGCAGCGGGCTGCTCTGTAACTGGGGAGCCCAGAAATCAGGGCTGCTCAGGCCCCAGGCAGAGAGGTCCAGGCCCCGGGCTCTGTGCTGGAGCTCCCAGAGGGGAGCTCCCTGCAGCGGGCAGGGCCAGTGCTCCGCTGACCGTCTCTTACCTTTGGTTTTAAAAGCAAAGTGACAGTGCTTGCACACATAGGGCCGGACGTCAGTGTGGGTGCGGATGTGTTTCTTCAGCATGCTGGGCTTCTTGCAGCGAATTCCACACTCCTCACAAACATATTTCCCTCGGCCGCGGCCTCGCACATATACATACTCTTCGTTTGATTTGTACCTATGAGCAACAGGCGTCATGGTAAAGTAACAAAAAAGGAGGAGAGGAGGCAGGTTCCCACCTCAGAAGATGCACGCGCTTCCTGGCCTCATCCAGCTCTTAGGGGCGGGGGGAGGGGGGACGCGGAGCAGAGAGAACCAGGGGTGGGGGATCCACCATGGAGCCCTGCACCTGCCCTGTCCTCAGACGGGGGGGTGGGGGCACCCCCCCTCCTGTCCCTCAGAGGCAGCAGGCCCTGGTGTTCCTGGCCGGGAGGGAAGCCACAGGAGCACAGAGGGTCTCTGGCCCAGATCCAGCCTCATCACCAGCTTCTGCTTCCAAAGAGCAGCCGCTCCGGGCCACCATGTAACAGAAAGACTATAATAGATGACAACCACAGCTCCGGCAGCCACCACTGAGCCAGTGCTCACCCTGTTGCCGGACACCTGCCCACGTTCAGTCACAACCACCACGGAGAGCCCGAGGCTTCCACAGCTAGAAAGGGACAGAACTTCTGAATCTGCCTGCCCCAGAGCCTGTCCATCCCCCACGAGGGGCGACCAGCACCAAGACAGTCCGCTCAGAGGCCCGCCAGACGTGCACGGGATGGGAGAGCGGAAGGCGCTTTATTTCCTGGTCCTCAGAGTCAAGACAGCCGGGGCCCAAAGCACTCTCTCCAGTCTTTTCCGTCTTGAGCCGAGCAGGAAGCTCTCAGGACCCAGATTCCAGCCACCTGGCCTCTCTCCGGGGATCACCTGGGGTCCTAGCAGGAAGTACTGTCAGCCTGCAGGAGCCTCCTGGGGCGGCCGGCCTGCCTGCTGGGCCTCAGGGCCACTGTGCTCTTGGCCATGAATCAGAATGCTCTTATTTCCACTTAGAAGGAATACATGAGTCCCACAAGCTCACTCGATACCGTCCTCCTCAGAACGCCATGTTGACCTAATGCTGTAGATGTGTGAGTGTCTTGACAGGGATGAGAAGGCTGTGGCAGGGCCCATGGAGGAAATCCTGGCATAATTCCAGGAGAAGAGCTTTCTGATTGTGAGGCCCAGGATCCGAGGGCATAGGCACCTTAGGAGAGGTGTGGCTTTCTCAGCCTGCAGAGTCTGCCGCCAATGCCCAGCAGGAGGCCTGCCTGTGTCCACACTCACCTGTATATCTCCCTCCCACCCAGGAGGTTTGGCGCTCAGATTCTGGGTGGGGGTTCAGAGAGGCAGGGAGGGGACTTGGGGTAGGGGAAGGTGAGGAAGTGACAGCGGCTGGGATTCAGTCCTGCTCCGCTGGGACCATCAGCTCACAGCTGAGAGAATGTCACCAGGATGGGCCTGCAGGAGGGGACTCTGAGGGAGGGACCTGGTGGGCAGAGGCACAGTGATCACCAACACTCACGCTCAGACGCAAGCACACACCACACCACTTCCACTCTGCCCTGCTTGCAGGTTCCATGACAGCCTCTCCCCTCTCACTTCCAACCACGATGGAGCCTTTGGGTCCCTGTCTTTCACCCCCTCCCACCCAGGCCTACAGCTGCCCCAATTTCTACCACATATGTGCCTCCCTCTGTACATAAGACAACTCAGAAGGAGGCAGACAGTCCATCGAAATTGGCTACTCTCAGCCCCTTCATTCTCCCTCAATAGCGAGTTTAAACCACAGGTGGGTGTCCAAATGGAGACACACACGTACACAGAGAAAGGACTCTGCTCGAGCCTCCAAGGGTGGTGCCGTGACTCGGGGGGTGGGGTGAGAAGGCATGTATGCAACCCGGGACACCACTTTGTCACACTCCATGGAAGGTGCACAACCTGCTGGGGAGCACAAGGGAGGAGCCTGGGTTGAGAGGGGCTAGAGAGGATGCTGAGAGACAGAGGCAAGAAGGCAGGACCCCAGGCAGGGACCCCAGCAGCAAAGGCACAAGTGTTAAGATGCCTGGAGAGTTTGGTGGGCAGGGCAGACTGGATCATCATCAGCCTTGAATGCCATGCCAAAAAGCCGAGACTTGGTTAAAGTTGTCTTAAAGGTAAACATAAAGTCTCAACAGAAGATACTTCCTTGGTGCCATGGGGAATGGTCTGCAAGAGGAGAAACAGAATCTGGGTACAAGACACACGTATTGTACGACAGGGATTCGAAGCCTTCTGGATGTAGAATCTATAGATCCTGGTGGCTGTCTGGATGATACAGGGGGCACCATGCAGGAGTAACAAAGATTTCAACTTAGCTAGCTCAAGTGGTACCAGCCACGGGCTTAGAGAGAAACGGTACAGGATTCTAGTCCTTAACTACTGAATGTGAGATGCTCATGAGAGAATTGAAGACATGTCCACACACAACCAGAATTCCATGGGACTCAGGATGGGACGTGTAGCTTTTTGAGGAGGCAGGTGACTACTCAAGAGAGTATGAAAACAGAAAAAGGACAGTGAGAGGGCCCAGGAAGCACCCAAAGGTAAGGGTGGGTAGAAAGATGGTGCCAAAAGCCACCCCCAAGCAGAGAGATCCTGATAAGGAGCCAGGAGCGAATGTGATTTGGGAGCCAGAGAAAAGAGGTGAGAGGAGGAGGCAGTCAACAGGGTCCAGGCGATGGAGATCAGGGGAAGGGTGGCCCCTGGGGTCCCAGGACTGGGAGGGGGCAGTTCTGGTTGGCCAGCCTGGAGCCTCTGACTTCTCTGCTCCTCAGAGGCCAGTCCTGGGGTCATGCAGCTTGTTGGTTCCCAAAGGACCAAGTCCAGGGACAGGTGTGGGGCAGCTATCCGGGGTGGGCTGGGCCCTCCTCCCCTTCCCAGCCCAGGCTTAGTCCCTCCAGTCTGTGCTGGAGGCTGAATGGTCCCTTAGAGGGATCTCCCTATGAGATCCCACCCCTTCCCCAGCAGCTTCAGGCCTCCACCTTTGGACACATCCCACCACTGTGCATGCGAGCTCAGTTCTCCTGGTACCCAGCAACTGCAGCCCCCGCCCCCCAGACCTCAGCCGCCGCTCCACCTGCTTCCCTTGTCCTGCTGGCAGTCACGCCTCCTCACCAGCCCAGCCCAGCTCCCCTGCTGACTGTTCCTGTCAATGTCACGGGCTGCTAAATCTGAGTGACAGTAGCTTTATCTTGTCAGCCCTGTTGCCTGCCATCTGGAGATACCTGCTGGCTTGGTGACTGGGTCTCCTCGGCAAGTTCCTTCTCTGCACCCCCACCCTCCCCGCCAGTACCAACCTGCACGCTTCTCCCCTCACACCTGCCTCCAGGTGAGCTCCTCCACACACACCTGACCTTCCCCCTGGATGCTCATGGCTCCTCTGTCTCTCCAGCCCTGACCACTCTGCTGCACATCCAGCTGCCCTCTTGGCGTCTCCCCGGGGGTCTCCAAGCACCTCACGGCCCACATTCCCAGAACCCTGTTTCCCGCCCCGCACCTGGACCACTGCCTCCTGGGTCCCCGCGTCAGTAAACAGCATGCACACCCGGTGGTGGCCAGGCCAGCGTCCCTGGTGCCTCCACATGCTTCAGTCTTCTCGGTCAGTCCATCACCACGGCCTGTCAACGCCACATGCGACATGTGTTCCAGGGAGGCCCACCTCCCAGCAGCCACAGTCCTCTCTCCTGCACCACTGCATACTTTCTTCTCAAGACAGCCAGAGGGGACTCTCCCCAAACACTGCCCATCCTGCGGCTCCTCCCAGCCCAAGGGTCCACTCAATGCTCCTCCCACTGCGCTCCATAAAGCCCCGCCCCTCACTCAGCGGGTGCTGAAGGCCTCACGCACCTCCTGGTCCAGCTACCCCTCCAGCTCTTCCCTTCACGGCACTTCTCCACCAACCACACCAAATGTCATCCCTTGCCTCCGAGTCCCTTTCCTCTGGCCTTCCACCTCCCCCTACCCTCCCTCCCCCGACCCCCTCCACCACCTGCTACTGTCTGTCTGTCTCCTTCAGGGATCTGCCAATAGGCCCCTTCCTTCAGAGCCCTCTCTCACACCCCCATGGGCCTGGGGGTCCCACTCACTCCTCCTTCACGGCACCTGTCAAGCTGTGTGTCCTGTCGTGGACTCTCACAGGGTAGTCCCTGTTAGCCCCACGGGTGTGGGGGGGGACACGTCTGCCTCATCCACTGGTGCATCCCCCGGGGCCTAGCACAGAGCCTGATGCCCTGCAAGTGCTCGGTAGGCATTGCTGGACAGATGGGAGCCAAGCCAGGGCCTTCTTTCCTTGTGTCTACTAGAGACCCTCAGTCAAGAAGCTCCCACAACACGAGTCTCTGAGCACAAGTTCAGTCTGACACTGTGGGCTCCCCATGGACGCGGCACATGAGCAGTCCCTCCCAACTATGGTGGACTGGCTGGCAGAACACCCCCTACTTTCTGGTAGGAACCCCTCTGTGCATAGAGAAAGTGAAAGAAAGTGTAGTCGCTCAGTTGTGTCCGACTCTTTGCGACCCTGTGGACTGTAGCCCACCAGGCTCCTCTGTCCATGGGATTCTCCAAGCAAGAATACTGGAGTGGGTTGCCATTTCCGAGGTCAGCATGAGAACCGAGTCTGAGTCCCGGCTCCTGTGTGAACGTGCTGGGCGACCTTGGTGAAATCACTTCCCTTCCAGCGAAAACAGTCAAACTTTGCCCTTAGATGCACCAGTCACTGCCACAGGCCTGAGGTCATTCAGTCCTCCCACCAGCCCTTGGCCACTTCCCATTTATACAAATGTGAACCAAGGCCCAGGGAGTTCAAGTGATGTGACCAAGATCACACCATCAGCAACTTTTCCACTTCGTCCCCTGTCCCTGCACAGACGCTGCCTGGATGCTTTTAGGTGATGCTGACCAAGGTTTCCTTAGCACCTTCCTTCTCTGGGGTGCCCAGGGGCCTGTAAGACCGCAGACAGCGGAGAACAGCACTGCTCTCCTGCAGTCTTCCTGAAAGGCTGCCAGCTCGGGGTGGGACTGAGGGTGTTGACAGCTGCAGAAAAATGCCCTGCAAAGAGCCAGGGAAGGAAGCCAGAAATGCATGGTGGGGTGCCCAGGGGCATGGTCCTGCTTCCC